TATATATATAAAATTTATATATAATTTGTTTACATACATATACAGTTAAGTCTATATATATTATATATAAATTAGAAGTATTTCTAATTATGTGTTTATTTTTGGTTTTTTTATAGTAATTATTTTTATTTTTTATACCGTTTTTTAATTATAAATTTAAGCTTATAAAAAGATTTCTATTTTATACTGTGTTCATGGTAATAAAAAAACAAATAAAGATGCTTTCTGATTTGGGTACCGATCATGTACTTTTCCTTAGGGCGGATATGTGAAAAGCGAAAAATGTTTTCATTAATTTGTACGTTTCCGCTATAGGGAAAAAGTACATATACCCTGACATTTTCAGTTTGGTTGTCCGGATTCTGGACTACTTAAGAGCAACTTAACGAATTTCCTTGGGAAAAATTGAAAGACTATCGAAGTTCCTTTGCCAAGACGACATCGGTGGATTGAACCGGAGAAATTCTTCAGAAATAAGAAGCAAGTCATGACTTATAATATAATTAATATTATAGGCATATATGTATTATGAATATGTATGTATGTATGAGAAGTAAGTTATAGCGTATTCATGTGATATACGTATATTGATATATAATCGACAAGACAGTTTACATAAATCTTTACAACAGATAAATTATTGCTTGTAAATAGTGATCAGACTAGCGAAATGCATTAAACATGTCTATCTGTTCATAAGCACGTATTATATATTTTTTATATTATAAAATATGCTATAAAAAAGGTAACAAATCTAAACTGGCTACATTATTCGATTATCCAAAGGATATATGATATAATCTATCAAGATCTAAGTAGAGTTAAATCTTTTGGGAACGCATCTTTGGAAATTTTCAGTCTTTGTTTAACTCTTTGAGTCATCTGTCATGTATGCAATACAAATAAAATAGGGCATTACAAAATATAGACATAAAAAAAAATCTTATCAAAGGCTATACTGTAAAAAATATTCCTTCTCTTTTCACGTATAAACTCTGACTTTTACACAAAACACGTGTATATATTTTTATGTAACGTATAGAATAATTTAATATATTGGTCGCGTCAAGCAGAATATTTATTTTGCAACTGTCGGAAGTTTTCTTCGTTGAGATAAAATTATTTCTCTAGATCTAAAAGTATAATCCAATTAATGCGGAAAAAAAACTTATAATAGTTGCGGAATAAACATTCTGCTGAACACAGCCATTGTTCAGGCATCTGCAACCATATATGCTGCATTCTTTGGAAATATCTTTTATGTAATAGAAGAGTATTCGAATAATTCAATCATTTCTTTCTACAACGGAATGAGTTTACCAATTATCGAGAAATTCAAATCCAGTCTTTGGTATGCTTCTCTCTTCCTCTTCTTGATTCAGTTGGGATGACTGAAAGCTACTATAGGAACTGGGTGTTTCTAACAGAGCGGTCGATTCGTTTATGTCGCTTGATTTCGTTCGTGATGTCACCACTAAAGTATTCGATTGACTTTTGTCCGTATCGGAATCCCTCACCAAGCTTTCCAAGTCATCCTCGACATTGCTTTGTAACTTCAATAAAGAGGTCTTGTTGATCAATTTAGCAAATATACTGTCAGAGTGTTCGCTGTCAATTTCATTTGTCAGTAAATCGCTGCACTGGTCATTTTCGAATAAATCGCTGGTGTAACAATCTGATGGATAACTGACTTGGTGTAGGGAGTTATAGTTATCGCTTAATGAGCAATTGTTTCTTTGTGCCTTCGCAGGACTAGAAAAATGCGGTAATTCTCCAAAATGAGTCCTCATTGACCTAGATTTCACATCTTCGTTAGAGTCTATCAGATTAAGATTCATCTGTGATTGAGTCATAAACGAAAATGGTGCGGAGTGTTCATCTCGCCATCGTAAGGTCTGTAACACACAGTGAAGAAGTTATCTAATCAATTTGTTATTTAATTTTGTCCATAAACATTGACGATACTATACTTACTGAACCGGTTTCATCTATGACATATTTCATTCCAGTTTGTATGCGCAGTTTTGGATACCACTCAGGTAATTCCTTTGTCAATTCAATCTTCTTCAAGGTGTACTTCAAAGCTATCTCGGGCTGAATTATAGTCTCGTTGATGGCTTGATTGCGCTCCGCTATACTCAAGGTGCTCCATAGCCCTTCATAGGCTTCCTTCGTTGCTGTTATATCCTCACCGATCCTTCGAGCTATAGGATTTATATTAAAAAAATATTCCTCTGCTCTTGCAGTAAGAGTGCTGGAGCTCATTCCGCTGCGCTAAAGCACAAAAATTTGTTGATGGTCGAATTGATCATAACATGATTAGAATGTGTGTAAAACACAAAGACAAATCTATGACCAAGCAACGTTAAAATTATATTCTGATATACGTACTAGCTTTAATAATGACATAAACAAAAGGGGTATTATATCGAGAGAGAGCGTATTATATCGACATAATAATTATTAATTATTTCGTTATATATCATAGGATAATCGGATAAACGTTTAACGAAAGTAAGTCTCGAATACACGTAAACTATCATCATTGAACATCACATTCAAGAAAATGTGTCGACCCAGAGCTGGTCGACCACTGAAACGAACGTGTCAATTGAGGATAATCAGGGAGGCCGTAGAAGCCATGATGGCAAAACTTGTTATGCGCTTGCGCCTTCTCTAGAGCCGGCAGAGCAACTATCCTGCTTTCGCCGAGCAAATATGTACATGGAATAAAAACTGCTAGTTGCTTTATCGCAGCACACACAATCAGCTACACAACATATTTTATCTTCCCCTTTCAATTAACAATTTAATATTTGTAGTATTTATTACGTTTATTAATTTTTTTATATTTGTTTTTGTTATTATGTTTGTTTTCTAAATATCAAAAAAAATATAAATGTTGACTAATCTCTCAGCAAACGAGAATAGATTGAAATAAATTGAAATGGATACAGATTTCCAGAAATATTGATTCACGAATGTTAAAATGAATGCTTTTCAATCCTGAATGCATTTTTATTCATTTATAGGAATTCCATGGAGCATATCTCTATGCTTTTCAATCTAAAAATAATATTAGCTTTTTCTGTGCACTGTGAATATTGTTCAATTCAAAATTTTGAATAGGAAATGCAGTTTTTCAATCCAATTGCATCCAATTGAATCTAATTGAATCCAATTGAATCCAATTAAATCCAAAAAAAGTGTTTGCTATTAAAAATACGCATTCGGATAGAAAAAAATTTCAATCTATTTTAATCCATTCTCTCGTTTACTGGGCTATTGATTAATTCATGCTATTTCGTAGTATTGTTCGTAATATTTTAATTATAAATTTTTAATTATAAAATAAAAATATCTTCAAAACTATAATTTATAAGATTATTTTTTAATAATTACAATAATTTATGATATTAATTATAACTTTTTTTTGCAAAAAATTATAGTTTATATTATTCTGGCTATACATTAGTTTTCCAATGTCGGAGAACCAATATTGGGAAGCTAATCTCTGCTCAATATTGGTTATACATTAGTTTTCCAATATCGGAAAACCAATATATAACCAATATTGACCTAATGTAACCAAAGAAAACCAATTGAATAGTCGCGATAGGCAAAAACGACTGATTATTATATAGTTATGCAGTATTTGCTTGCCAAGCGAGTTAACTGTTTCATCGTTCGAATACAAGTCAGTTCAATATAACTGTGTTGTCAGGATAAGTATAATAATTTTAGCAGACCTATTCTATAATTTTTAATAATGACAGTGTCAATATTGCTATGTTGTTGCGCAGCTTCTTTATCATATCAATTATCTGTGCAACGACGCTGTAACGACATCGACATTGTCGTTAAAAGTTACAGAATAGCAGCAGGAATCTGCCATTAGCTTACGGTAAATCTGAAATGTCTTGTATACATAGTTTTTTCATAGTTGATTATTTTTTTCAGAATTTCTTATATTATTAAACTTGATTGTACAATGCTAATGGATAGGGAATTACAATAACAGAGTCGAATGAAAAAAGTAACATGTCTATATTATTTTTCTTTTTTTTAACGGCGAGGATTGCATGAGATACTAATGAAGCTAAAATGTTCTCAGCAGACATGTAAAATGAGAGATTAAATAACGTCTTGGAATTTCGCTTTGTATTCAACTATAAAGGAACAAAATCATCTGAATGTATTTATTTAAATATATTTTAAGAGTCCCGCTTAAAAACGAAGGTGAA